TGTGCTGAAGAAATTTAAATTTTTTGCTTTTAAATTTTTTGCTGTTTTCTGTTCAATCTCAAAGCAACTAATAATGAACTTGCTTGCTAAAAATGCGTACGGATCTGACAAGTTTGATGTGCTGAATGGCTGATAAAAAATGAGTTCATTGCGATAGCAAATTGTGTGAAGAGGCTCAGCACTGGGTTTCGTTCGGTTCGAGCATCGAACATTTTCTTACACTAACCAACAATCAGTCAATAATTTTCCGCCAATATAATTGATATTCCAAACTGATGGGGCACACCGTAACAGTCTGTTGTTTTTTCTCAAAAGAACAAGTTCAAACTGAAGTATCACATCAATCAATCAGGCCATGTGCTGTGGCAATTTGTAACTTATATAGGTATCATTTTTCATTATTCAGTCAATTGACGAACGATGGCTGAAAAGAAAAAGCGTTCGAGAAATGCGATGAGAAAATGCTTTGGACGGAAAAAAGTTTGACGAAATGCTTTTGTTCGACGATAATCAGCAGTTGCGTCGTACCCGATGAACTTGATCCAATTCGCGAAAAACCGACGAGATATTTGTCAGAGCTGAAGGTGTCACGAACGCAAGACGTGCAAACGAATCCGAAATTTGTAATCGCATCTCATCTGCAATCAACAGATCACTTTCATTTAGTGATCAGAATCAGTATTGAATTCAAGCACAATTTATAAATCTTTCATGTAAGCATACCGAATATTACATGCTTAAGATACAACAATACTTTCTGATTGATCATAACCGTAGACTACTGCCTAAAAAATAAAGCAAAGATTTAAGAGTATATCTCGTGAGTGACATAAAAAAACAACAACAGGCTAAGATCATGAGTTAGCTATCACATTTTTTGATTGCATCCTAACGGAAGAATCGTGAAATTTGTGATTGGCATCATTGTCATGGGCGAAAAAAAGCTGAATACATGGTCACTGATGTAAATAACCCTATCAGTGCCGTTGCAACTCAGTGGGATCTTACCCATCGAAAATGTCGGATATAGTGGACATACAGTGCATCCAGCCATTGAGATGCCCAGAAATAACCACACAAAATCCGGTGAATTCGGCACACATAATATGACGGCCTGAAATTCATTCGTTATTTGACGGAATCTTCTCAAATGTACTGATTTTACCTATAATCAGAGTGCATAAATGGCTGGAGTATAGAATTCTTCAGCAGCGCTATTGTTTCTTTTAGAAGCATTCAGAACGGACGTTTCAAATTAGCCGTTACGTTCCCAAAAGAAAAGAGGGCAAGGGCATTGGTGCACCGGAACAATCAGGGCCGAAACATTCCATCGCAAGGCGAGCGTTCTTCAGATTTAATGTATTCGGAACTCCGTCCTTTTAAAGTTTAAAAAAATGACTTTTTCTCAACAGTTCAGGACAAATTTAGTGCTAGTATTGGAGTAATCGTGCAGCGATGATCCATTTCAAACGTTCATGAGGAATCGATCGGAACAACTATGTACTGAAAAATTACTCTCAAGCAACTGCAATTACTCTCACAAAGAATTTGATTCGTATACAATTCTCTGATGAGCCAGTGTGCGTTATTTGTATGGTGAGTAACTATGATATCTTGTGGTGCAATTTAGTTTTGAAAGTACAACATCAATACTTCAGATATTTCACGGCCATCAATTCATCACTGAGATGGAGGAGGAGGAGGAGGAGAAATGAAACGAGATGTTTTCATATGCAATCGATTTTGGTGGTTTGTCAGAGTTGATCGAAAGCACTGCGAAAATTTGCGAGCAACGAAAATTTTAGAATTTCATGTGTGGTGCATTTGAAGAAGTTTAGAAACTTCTTGAGTAAACAAAAAATATGATCTATCAATCTGGCGAATTCATATAAACATTCTCAAAGCAATAAACGAAATAATTCACGTTCAGTTGGTTACCTCGCCTTTTTCAATTCCCAATGAAATCAATGAATTGGCGATGTATTGTGTTTTTGAGATAATGTCCGCGAATGTGAACGTCTCATCCGTATCATAGTTGATCTGGAAGAAACACGAATTTATAATACTCGAAAATTTTAGAATACGGGTGGAAAGTTAAAAGAAGACATTGAATGAAATTCATCACTAGCAAGAGATAAAATGCAACTTCTTAATAAAGAACTATTAAAGACTTTGTCTTGATTACTCTATCCAAACCCAATCACAAGAGTATTAGAAATCCAATTTTGCATGGCAGTCAAATGCTTAGATAAGAACTAACACTGGAAGCTGTAAACACTCACAGAAGATACTAAAAATCATGAAGTGATTTTTTGGTCTGAAAATGCAATTAAAATAAGACAGACTTATTAATTTGCTTCAGCAACGTAGAGGAGATAATTATTAAAAATTGTTTATTAGCGACCTGAATCCATATGACTTACCAGAGCTGTTTCAGTACCGTACTTTTGTAAGTGGTTGATCATTAGATCATGAAAGGGAATATTTGGTATGTCTACATCGGGCAATTTTGATTTGATGGGCATATCTTGCTTGGGAGAGATTAATCCTTTTTTGGGATTATTATGCGATCCTGTAAACGTTTACATTTAGAGTGAATAATGAAATCAGCTCCGTTGCGAAAACAACGAACTGAATATTTGATATCAAAAGTCGATCGAAACGATGGCATACAATGGTAGCCGCTGAAGATACATTCAATTCCAAAAAATTATATGAGTTAAACTGATCCATCTTTTCACTTGGTCAATGGAAGGGTTAATTTTTTGTTGAAATCAGCGGATTCTCAATAACGATTCCGAATAATCAGTTGGGCTCGAAGCTAACTCAATTACCAACAAAAAGCAGCGCATCGAAAGATGTATAAATGAAGCGGTCATGAAGCTGGTGACGAGGTCAAGTGCAGACAGAAGTTTTGAGATTGAAAAGTGATGAGAGGCTGAAGTTGAACTCAACTCGGGATTGAAGTTCTTGAACGAAAGAAACTTTTGGATGATTGAAGAGAAACAAAGTGAGGAGAATTGACTGAATAAGAAAGCAAGTA